GATATGTTGTGTATCTGTATATGTATATGCTTCTAAACTGTTGTATTCTGAGCACCTCAGCAAAAGTGATAATGTGTGAGTGTGGTGAAAGTGTTGAATGATGATGAAAGTATTTTCTTTTTGGGGATTTTCTTTCTTTTTTGGGTCACCCTGCCTCGGTGGGAGACGGCCGACTTGTTGAAAAAAAAAATATATATATATATGCTTGTACGTGCATGTAAAATGTGACCTAAGTGTAAGTAGAAGTAGCGAGACATACCTGAAATCTTTCATTTTTATGAGACAGAAAAGACACCAGCAATCCTACCATCAAGTAAAACAGTTACATGTAGAATGTAAATGTGACTGAAATATATCAGTCATTGCATGCTCCAAGAGGGCTGATTTATGGGGGCTAAAGCCCCCTTGTTCCCTTCTCCTTTGGCATTGTCACTGTATGATCTGTAAGGGTTTAGTGCTTATTTTAATATAATAATTATAATAGGAGAAGGAGCATAAAGTAGGAAGAGGACAAGGGAGGGAGGGAAGAAAGAAAAAAAAAACTGTTTATACTGAAGCATATCAGTAAGCAGTATTTAGATAAGGGTAAAGAACTGTTTGTTGCATTTGTGGATTTAGAAAAGGCATATGATAAGGTGGATAGTGAAGCCATACAGTATGTGCATGAAATAGGTGGTAGATTACTACAAGCATTGGGAACTATATCCCTGTGAAAGTAGGGTTTAGAGATCTGGGAAGGAGTGTGGGGTCTAACAAAGTGGGAGTTATCCCAGTTGCTTTTTGTTGATGACAGTTCTTTTAGGGGATTCTGAAGACAAGTTACAAAGGTTGGTAGACAAATTTGAGAAGATATGTAAAAATAAGATATTAAAAGCAAACATAGAAAAGAGCAAGGTGATGAGGTGTAACAAAAAAGGCTAGGCAATGATAGAATAATTATCAGATTGGAAGGAGGAAGTATGGAAGAAGTGGATGTATTTAGATATTTGGGAGTGGTTATTTAAGATCAAATGAACTCTAAAATAGATGAGGGAGGGAAAGGTGTTTGCTGTGTTGAAGTTTCTAAGGAAATAAAGTTTATCTATGAAGGTAAAAAATAGAACATACTGGAAAATGGCACCAGCACTTTTAAATGGGTGTGAAGCATGGATTTTGAATGTTACAGTGAGGAGGAAGGTAAAGGCATGTTTGAGTGCAATGTGTGGTGTGAATATCATGCAGAGAATTCAGAGTATAGAAATTAAAAGGCAATGTGGGATCATTGACTTTCAGAGGTCTGATGACAGGTTGTTGCGGTGGTTTGGTATGGAGAGGGATAGGTTAATGAAGATTGTGTATAAATCTGGGGTGGAAGATAGGAGGGGTAGGATTCATCCCTGGAATGGTTGGAGGGTGGTGGTAAAAATGGCTTGGAGTCTTAGGGGCTTGAGCATCTAGCAGGCTTGTGTGAGTATGTTAGCTAGGATGGAGACAAAGAGTGTTTAATGGACATAAGTCCTGGAGGTAGGAGGGAGGGAATTGCAGGGAGTAATTTGATTGTGATGTCAGCACAGTTTTAGAACAACAGCAGTTGAGTGAATGTTTTTTGTTCTCTGGGTCAACCTGCCTCAGCGTGAGATGGCTGTTGAGTTAAATAATAATAATAACAATATTACTACAGCTATGATTCTTCTATAGTGTCTGCCTAATTTAAGTAAGTCTTGCCACCAAACACTTCTTGTGATATCCTTATATTTTTATTGACTTTCATATTTAGTTTGTCCAGCAGTTCTTAAAGTAATAAAGTGATCTTTGATAGTGATGGCGGTGGTGATAGTAGTGGCCATACCTGGAGGGGGTTTTGGGGGGTCAACACCCCCATAGCCCAGTCTGTGCCAGGCCTCATGGTGGATCAGGGCCTGATCAACAAGGCTGTTAATGCTGGCCGTACGTAAACTGACATACAAGCCACAGCCCGGCTGGTCAGGTACTGACTTTGGGTGCCTGTCCAGCTCCTTGACACACAAGCACAGTCATGAATATAAAAGCGTGCACAAGTATGGATCCTTACAAATATACATACATTCAAACATACCAATACATACATACACATACATATGCCCTAGTATATATATAAATGTAAACATTTACACATGCCCATACATGCTGCAGCACACAGGCGCCTGGTAAATCTAAGTTTAGTTTAATATGTTTATTATGCACCCCATACCCATCCTGTGGGCGGTAGTCAAAAGATTACAGAGGTACATAATGGGTCCAGGGACTGGGCTCCAAAGTTTTGATGGCTGAACTAGGTACAAGGTAATGAACTCACAAGTTACAAAGGTAATGAATCCTGTAAGAATGGTTACTTACGTTTATACATGGCTACAATCATGAACAAATTATAGTGTAATGAGCAATTCACACTTCCACACCCGGTCACAACTGTAGTGAGTTATTGGTGCAAATGTTGATTGTTGAGACACACACACACACACACACACACACACACACACACACACACACACACACACACACACACACACACACACACACACACACACACACACACACATACATACACACACACACACACACACATAAACACACACACACACACACACACACACACACACACACACACACACACACATACACAAACTCATACACACGCACACACACTCATACACACACACACACACACTGGTAAATCTAAGAGCAGCGTTTCAACACATGAATAAGGAGTCATTCAAGACTGTACACGGTATACGTCAGGCTCATATTGGAGTATGTAGCACCGGTATGGAACCCACACCTGGTCAAGCACGTGTCAGCCACGTTCTGTTAGACTGCCCACTTTATCAACGAGCACGCAGAATTTACCTCCGACGCCGTCTTCGCTCCGCTGCTCTCTCTTTATCTTCCCTTCTCGCTGATGGACCCACCTTTCATCCGGACTCTCTCATTGACTTTTTGACAACAACTGACTTACTTCACAAACTCTGATACCTTCAGCCCTTTCTACCTCAATCTCTTGCTACCCTCTACCCCCGTACTATCCCCTGCCCCGCTGTTTTCTGTAACCTACTGATCATCCCTCCTCCCTCTGCCGACCAATACCCTCGGTTCCCTACCCTGCAGCGCTGTATAGCCCTTGTGGCTTAGCGCTTCTTTTTTATTATAATAATAATAATGGTCAAGCACGTCAAGAAATTAGAGAAAGTGCAAAGGTTTGCAACAGGACTAGTCCAGAGCTAAGGGGCATGTCCTACAAGGAGGGGTTAAAAGAACTCAACCTGATGACACTAGAGAACAGAAGGGATAAAGGGGGGGGGGAGACATGATAACGACATAAAATACTGAGGGAAATTGACAAGGTGGTTAGGGACAGAATGTTTCAGAGATGGAACACGACAACAAGGGGTCACAACTGGAGTTGAAAACTCAGATGAGTCACAGGGATGTTAGGAAGTATTCATACAGTCGTAGAGTTGTCAGGAAGTGGAACAATATGGATAGTGATGTAGTAGAGGCAGGATCCATACATAGCTTTAAGAAGAGATACTATGATTCTCGTGGAGCAGGAAGACTGTACCTAGTAGCAAGCAGCGAAGAGGTAGGGCCAGGAGCTGTGAATCGACCCCCGCAACCCCAAATAGGTGAGTACATATATGCATAAATTCTCTCTCATACACATTATATATACATTACATATATATACATATATATATATATATATATATATATATATATATATATATATATATATATATATATATATATATATATATATATATATATATATATATCGTGCCGAATAGGCAGAACTTGCGATCTTGGCTTAAATAACAACGCTCATCTTGCCATGTAAGACAAGTGAAAATTTGTGTATGCAATAATTTCGCCAAAATCATTCTGAACCTAACGAAAAAAATATATTTCACTGTGTTTGTTTAGTATTAAATTACTGTAAACAAATCTAAAATATATTTAGTTAAGTTAAGCTAAAATAAATTGTTCTTGTTATAATAAGGTTAGGTAAGTTTTCTAAGATTCTTTTGGTGCAAAATTATAAATTTTTACATCAACATTAATGAAAAAAATATATCTTTAAACGTATAAGAGAAAATTTCAGAAAGGACTTAATTTTAAATGAGTTCTTGCTAATTGACCAGTTTTACATATTCGGCACGACATATATATATATATATATTATATATATATATATATATTATATATATATATATATATATATATATATATATATATATATATACGTAAGTAGAAGTACGTGTACTTATACACACATGCATACATTTGTACACGTACTTGTATGCATGATTATATATCTGTATGTTCATACGCATAAAAATTACATATGTAAATACATAAATAAATGCATATATACACACAAATACACCGGAGCCAGAAGCTGTGACTCAACCCCTGCAACCACATACAGGTATACATACATATATTTTGCCGCGCAGGAATTTTGTGACCACCCTCCACTGTACCCTTTGCATGCACTGCCTCTCAAGGTTCCTTGACGCTGGTGAGGGGCTCTTGATCTAGGGAATTGGATCTGTGCTCTGGTTCCCTGAATTGAGCCTGAATACCTTCCATCCCTCCCCCCCCCCGCATGCGCTGTATAATCCTATGGGTTTAACGCTCCCCCGTGATAATTTCCATGCACTGAGGTAGAGGAGGCTGGGCTTGTGGTGTACCGGGATACCACCTTTATGGAAGTGCCATAACCATGGGCATTCTACATGAAGTATGAAGTGTCATCCATTTCTGTACAATGTATCATGTGGGAATAAAGTCTGAACTAGAGTTTAATGTTTAATACTGGAGGAAGTGTCCCCCTAAAGAGAGGTTCCTTGGCGCTGCTGAGGGGCTCTTGATCTAGGGAATTGGATCTGTGCTCCAATTCCCTGAATTAAGCCTGAATGTCTTCCATCACCCCACAGGCACTGGATAATCCCTACGGGTTTAGCTCTCCCACATAATAAAACTAGAAGTGTGTGGTAAGGCCTGGAGATGGCGCTGAGGTGGAGGCTGCCAGCGCAGACTACGCTGCTCTACACACTTCCACTTCTCTCGTATTTACTCCACTAATATCGCTTCCAGGGGAACATTGCGTAGTCTGGACGGAAAGACACAATTGTAAGGTAATTGTCTAGTTGGTTTGTATATGTCATGAGCTCACCCTTGATGAAATAATTGGTAGAATTGTGGTAGATGTCGGGATTGTCAGTTTCAATCGATATCAGAGTTCTAGGTTGTTACTGTATTATGTGTAGGCTTATGTGTGCTGTGATGTAGGCTGAGTTTTGTCGTGTTAAGAGTACCTTTAGTATTGCAGATGTGTTAGTTTTTACTAGTTTATTTTGCCTTTGATATGGTAATAAAAATCCATAATAATGACAGATGCGCTGTTTATAATTTACGAATTTACCCTCTTAGGTTATTACTGAATCATGAGACATTCCGTGTAAATTAATAATTATCATAAGCAGCTAGACAGTGATGTCAGCCTACAAGTGGTAATACAGACACTAATCACGATTAAACTTTATTGTATGTTTGGCCTAGGGTGGAAAGCCTCGCTTTGTTAGGCACTGGAGAAAGATTTCCCATTGTTTATCACATTTAATGACTCGTTAATTAGCGGCGAACATGTTGGTGATATAATAATGTGCTGTGTATGTCAACTGAACAGTAGAAAATGGTGATCCTCACACTGTGGTCTGACAATTGGCATCCCAAGTGAACCCGTCCAAATCTACGTTCAACTCAGGATACATTCAAAAGGACGCTCTAAATCCGTCGGAGTCATAAAGTGCCTGGGAACTAGGAGGTTAACAGGTTTGATCCAAGGAAGAGGATATTGTGGGTTGGGGTTCGTAACAGGGTGTGATTGGAGAAATACGCAATTGCTCTGCTAGGTGTTTATTAGGTATAAAAGGTCTTGTCGTCTGCCAGCGTATCTTAGCAGCTCTGTGTCCAGCCCAAGACAGTTCAACAAAGACAGCCACCCTGACTTATTTTCATTAATGTCATTTACTAAGTGCATGCTACAACCAGTCGATTAATATTAACCCATATACCTATTTACCGCTAGATGAATAGAGGCAGCAGTGTTAGGATTCTTCTGGCTTGATTCTGGACAAGGCATGACCTATGAACACCATACATCTGCTGGCAGCAGATTAAGCAAGTTTATTTAGGTACAGGTACACATAACTACAGTTACATAAATTATCATACATAGCATATGTGTAGATTACCTAGGATAACCCAAGAAAGTCAGACGAAGTGACTTATTTCCATTGGGGTCCTTGTGAAATGTGATAAATATTATTTGTTTATATGTATAAAGAAATGTTCATATGCAGATTGCCGCCCCTGTTCACTTAATAGTAAATAGGTTCCCAAGTGTTAGACTACTTGCTGATCACAGCATAAAGACCCTAGTGGAAATAAACATTATAGGGCTCTATTAGATTATTCTAGGTTAAAATCTCTTAAGTGTATGAAAGCATACTGCTGCGCAGAAGTATGCTACCCACTAGTAAGAAGGGGCTATAATAGTCTTAACAAAACTGTATACAGCAGCAATGTGCTGTGGCCATATCCTATATAATAGTTGTATAGCGGGAACAAAATCCTGCTATATTTCCATCATACAGGTTGGAATATCATAGTATTGAAATATGTCAGTCTGAGCCGGGAGACGCCATTAGGACAATTAGGATATCGTCAAATATTCCATTACTGTTAGCTACTGTTATCTGGAAAACAATTCTTCACAGGCTCCCACAAGAAGACGTTTAAATGGGTGATATCAGGGAAACCTGGAGATCCATTTAATGGGGTCATCGCGCCCAGTTTATATGACAAGGAAGTTAAGAGACCTAATCATAAATAATCAACTCAACAAGTATCACTTAATAATTACTGAAGACTTTCAACATCAGTCTCATCTAGACAGAAGACCCACAAATATCTAGCTTCCTAAACCGTATGTATAATTGCCTTTGTTGCGCTCGTTAACCAATTTCACTTGAATTACTGGGGCGTCTGCATCTTCTCTTGACCACATTCAGACAAACGTACAGTTCCTCTAAAAGCTGGCATAATCGCTGATAACGCAACTGATCATTACCCAATCTTTCTAGCTACCAGCATAACCAAATCACAGATTGACACTCGAAATATCCCGTAGGCTTCACGATGAAGCTTCAGCGCACTCGGCTCCCACACTGAGTTTCTGTGATTCGATTCCCGGTAAGGGTGGAAACGTTGGTCATGTTTCTTCACACCTGTTGCCCCTGTTCACCTAGCAGTAAATAGGTACCTGAGTGTTAAGACGACTAGCCAGCCTACCCAGAAGAACTGTTAAAGATCTGTTAAACACTAACAACTAAATACTTTTAGTAGTTATAGACTAGCTAGTTATGAGAGTTGTAAAGTGTTGTAAATGACCATCACCATGAAAATCTGTGTAGTCTGCAGAAAGGGTAACAAACAAAGTCATGCCTGGATTGCATGCAATCTCTGTGGTAAATGGTCCAATGGGTCATGCAGGAGTTTACCTGGAGAGGGTTTCGGGGGTCAACGCCCCCGCGGCCCAATCTGAGACCAGGCCTCATGGTGGATCAGGGTCCGATCAACTAGGCTGTTACTGCTGGCCGCACGCAAGCTGACGTACGAACCACAGCCCGCTTGGTCAGGTACTGACTTTAGGTGCCTGTCCAGTGCCTTCCTGAAGACAGCCAGGGGTCTATTGGTAATCCCCCTTATGTATGCTGGGAGGCAGTTGAACAGTCTTGGGCCCCGGACACTTCTTATGTTGTCTCTCAGTGTACTCGTGGCGCCCCTGCTTTTCATCGGGGGAATGTTGCATCTCCTGCCGAGTCTTTTGCTTTCATAGGGAGTGATTTTCGTAAGCAGGTTTGGTACCAATCCCTCCAGGACCTTCCAAGTGTATATTATCATGTGTCTCTCTCGCCTGCGTTCGAAGTAATACAGATCAAGGACCTTCAACCGTTCCCAGTAGTTTAGGTGCCTTATCGTACTTATGTGTGCCGTGAAAGTTCTTTGTACACTCTCCAGGTCTTCAATGTCGCCAGCTTTGAAGGGGGCCGCTAGTGTACAAGAGTATTCAAGCCTAGAGAGCACAGGCGATTTGAAGAGAATCATCATGGGCTTGGCGTCCTTAGTTTTGAACGTTCTCATTATCCATCCTATCATTTTCCTAACGGATGAGGTAGATACATTGTTGTTTGTGCAAGACAGGTATACAATACCGACAAGATGAAAGTTAAGACACTTGTGCAACATCTGGTTATCTTTATTGTAAACGTTTCGCCATCCAGTGGCTTTATCAATACAAATTCTTGGACATAATTAGAAAACAGAAGAACTATATACAGTAAAAGATGAGGTAATCAGTCCCTCAGCCTTGGAGGTGGTGTTTACAACACCGTGGTTGTAGAGATTCTGAAGCACAGGTAAGGAGACTGGCGCTTATATAGGCGTCAGTGAAGAGAGACGTGTAGCAGACGAGGGCATAGTCACTGGTAGGCGGGATTCCCCAGTGGAAGTAGGTCCTTCCCAAATTGATGGGCTAGTTGTAGAAGTCGTGAAGAAGGTCTTGTAGATCTTGTACAACTTCTACAACTAGCCCATCAATTTGGGAAGGACCTACTTCCACTGGGGAATCCCGCCTACCAGTGACTATGCCCTCGTCTGCTACACGTCTCTCTTCACTGACGCCTATATAAGCGCCAGTCTCCTTACCTGTGCTTCAGAATCTCTACAACCACGGTGTTGTAAACACCACCTCCAAGGCTGAGGGACTGATTACCTCATCTTTTACTGTATATAGTTCTTCTGTTTTCTAATTATGTCCAAGAATTTGTATTGATAAAGCCACTGGATGGCGAAACGTTTACAATAAAGATAACCAGATGTTGCACAAGTGCCTTAACTTTCACATTGTTTACCTGGAGAGAGTTCCGGGGGTCAACGCCCCCGCGGCCCGGTCTGTGGCCAGGCCTCCTGGTGGATCAGAGCCTGATCAACCAGGCTATTACTGCTGGCTGCACGCAAACCAACGTACGAGCCACAGCCCGGCTGGTCAGGAACCGACTTTAGGTGCTTGTCCAGTGCCAGCTTGAAGACTGCCAGGGGTCTGTTGGTAATCCCCCTTATGTATGCTGGGAGGCAGTTGAACAGTCTCGGGCCCCTGACACTTATTGTATGGTCTCTTAACGTGCTAGTGACACCCCTGCTTTTCATTGGGGGGATGTTGCATCGTCTGCCAAGTCTTTTGCTTTCGTATTGAGTGATTTTCGTGTGCAAGTTCGGTACTAGTCCCTCTAGGATTTTCCAGGTGTATATAATCATGTATCTCTCCCGCCTGCATTCCAGGGAATACAGGTTCAGGAACCTCAAGCGCTCCCAGTAATTGAGGTGTTTTATCTCCGTTATGCGCGCCGTGAAGGTTCTCTGTACATTTTCTAGGTCAGCAATTTCACCTGCCTTGATTATTATTATAATCAAGGGGGAAGCGCTAAACCCGTAGGATTATACAGCGCCCAGGGGAGGGGGGATGTGGAAGGCATTCAGGCTTAATTCGGGGAACTGGAGCACAGATCCAATTCCCTAAATCAAGAGCCCCTCACCAACATCAAGGAACCTTCCATGAGGGGTCACCTGCCTTGAAAGGTGCTGTTAGTGTGCAGCAATATTCCAGCCTAGATAGAACAAGTGACCTAAAGAGTGTCATCATGGGCTTGGCATCCCTAGTTTTGAAGGTTCTCATCCATCCTGTCATTTTTCTAACAGATGCGATTGATACAATGTTATGGTCCTTGAAGGTGAGATCCTCCGACATGATCACTCCCAGGTCTTTGACGTTGGTGTTTCGCTCTATTTTGTGGCCAGAATTTGTTTTGTACTCTGATGAAGATTTAATTTCCTCTTGTTTACCATATCTGAGTAATTGAAATTTCTCATCGTTGAACTTCATATTGTTTTCTGCAGCCCACTGAAAGATTTGGTTGATGTCCGCCTGGAGCCTTGCAGTGTCTGCAATGGAAGACACTGTCATGCAGATTCGGGTGTCATCTGCAAAGGAAGACACGTGCTGTGGCTGACATCCTTGTCTATGTCAGGCGAGATCCTCTGACATTATCACTCCCAGGTCCTTCACATTACTTTTCCGCTCTATTGTATGGTTAGAATTTGTTGTATACCCTGACACATTTTAATTTATTCAAGTTTCTCATATCTGAGTAGTTGAAATTTCTCCTCGTTGAACTTCATATTGTTTTGAGTGGCCCATTTGAAGATTTGGTTGATGTCCGCTTAGAGTCTCGCGGTGTCTTCATTGGAGGTCACTGTCATGGAAATCCGGGTGTCATCCGCAAAGGAAGACACGGAGCTATGGCTTACATTTCTATGTCAGAAATGAGGATGAGGAATAGAATGGGAGCGAGTACTGTGCCTTGTGGAACACCTTTTTACCGTTTCTGCCTGGGACTTTGCTCTGTTTACTATTACTCTTTGTGTCCTTTATCACGCATTTTGTGTGCTATTACACCATGGTCACATTTGTCGAAAGCTTTTGAAAATGTCTGTGTATACTACATCTGTATTTCGTTTATCCTCTACAGCATCCAGGACCTTGTCATAGTGGTCCAGTAACTGGGACAGGCAGGAGCGACCTGCTCTAAACCCATGTTGCCCTGGGTTGTGTAATTGATGGGTATCTAGGTGGTTGGCTATCTTGCTTCTTAGAACCCTCTCAAAGATTTTTATGATATGGGATGTTAATCTGTAGTTCTTTGCCACCTTTTGTGGAGTGGGGCCTTTAAACCAGCTACAACTTTTTATATAAAGCTAGAGAAATGTTCTTGGGTCTGCCCAAACGAGACACACCTATATGAGGAAATTACAATATATTAAGACAAGAACACCAATAAAATATCCTTAAAAGACATGTCAGCCTGGTACGACAGCTGGGGATATCAGATCTGGTCGAGTTGGCTCATCCCTTGCCCTCACTTGTGTGGCTTCTTTCATGTGTTAGGTCATGAAATTTCCCAATGGAAATCGTGGATAAGTCAGTGTGTTTAGTGGAGGAGCAGCCAGTAGCACATTCGTTGCCTGTCTCTGTTGCTGTTACCTCTGCAGCAGACGCAGCAACAGCATCATTGTGCTTTTGTTGTTTAACAGCAGCAGCTGCTTATTTTACATAATGGGGATTCATTTCTTTCTCTATTATTAGGTGTCACACTCTTGCAATTTTAACACAAATTGGACAAGATTATATTTCTCATTAAGTCGTATTTCTAAATTTTCCCTGATGTTAGGCGGTAGCATGTCACAGCTGGAGACCTGAGCCCAACTCATAATTAATTGTTTTGTGGAGTGAGGTTGGGTGTGCGACTTATCAAATCTTTTTCCTCCCAGGATGAAACCCACAACAGTCGACTAACACTCAGGTATCCACGTATTCATAGGGAAACAGTGGCAGGAACAAGGGAATTTGGTCAACGTTTCACCGGTGCCAGGGAGCTATTACCTGACACTCGTTGTGTGAGCTGAAGCGGTTATCAACTGAGACACAAGCACCGCATTGAGCAGTTTAACTTTCTGGGGTTAGCCTGGGTTACTAACCCTCCAGGTAAATATTTCAAATAGTCTTCTTGTAAAAATATTCTCAAGTAAGGCATGCCCTGTATCTTATTATGTATTATAATTTCCTGGTGTAATATTTAACCAAACTTGGTAAATGAATTATGTTAATCTTTGTGTACCATGTATACACTCAGTGGCCACTTTATTAGTACACCTGCTCGTTAATCAGATATTTAATCAGGCAATCACGTGGCAGCCCCTCAATGCATAAAATCATGCAGACATGGTCAAGAAGTTTAGTTGCTGTTGAGCCCGAACATCAGAATGGGAAAGAAATGTAATCTGAGTGACTCTGACCGTGGAATAATTGTTGGTGCCAGACAGAGTGGTTTTGAGTATCTCAGAAACTGCTGATCTGGGATTTTCACGCATGAGTCGCTAGCATAAATTTACAGAGAATGGTGTGAAAAACACAAAACACCCAGTGAGCGGCAGTTCTGTGGTCGAAAACGCCTTGTTGTGTGAGAGGTCAGAGGAGAATGATGGTCAGACTGGTTCAAGCTGACAAGAAGACGACAGTAACTCGAATAAAAACGCGTTGCAACTTGAAATTGATGGGATATTGCAGCAGAAGACCACACCAGATTCAATTCCTGGACATAGGTTCACCAAAACTGGATCGAGTTACGATCAAGGAATTCAGCATATATCATATAGAAGTGATTGAAAAAACGTCACCTGGTCTGACGAATCGCGATTTCTACTGCGACATGCAGATAGTAGCGTCAGAATTTGGCGTAAACGTTTAGAATGTGGCTGTTCTGGAGTCAAAGGGGAGGCCCTACCCAGTACTAGAAGGGTATAGTTAATAAAGTGGCCGCTGAATGGTATTAGCGATAACATGACATTTATATATAATCATATATTGTTTATAAATTCACCAAAGAGACTCATATTACTTTTTTTTTTCTTGGCTGAGACTATGAGGGCGAGTGTGTTGGTTGTAGTGGTGTGGGTGTGCACGGTGGGGGGCTTGGTAGTGAAAGAGGATGAGATACCCCAGGAAGCTGCTACGCCCCAACCCCTACTCAACACACCCACCACCCACACCCCAACGCCCATGTCCAGCAAGGTCCCACCCCGTGACGCCCGCAGGCTGTACCAGCTCACTACCACCGTCAGTGTGGGTGAGTAACTCGTGTTGCTTTATTCGTCAGGGAAGGGTGCCCTGACATGCGTTTTGGTCATACATCATAGACCATTACAGCTTGAGTGTGCTCCTTTAGAGTTTTAGGGCAACTTCTGAGCTGCTGACGATTACTCGCACACTAAGTTAATTTATACACAAATTACTATATAAGAGTATTGTAAATATTTGAAGTTATGCAAGAACCCTAACTAAACATTTAAACTGATGTTTGCGTCCATCAATCATTGGTGCAGCTGGTAGTGTCGTTGATGGGGACACGACCATAATTCCTGCCAAAAAATTGAGGGCCCTTATAAATAATTGAACTTCAACCCGTCGAATTGAAGGCTTTAATTACCTACTGTTTCTCTGAGCAACTCAGTCATTAGTTTACATTTTATAATGCATAAAACCTGCTGTATGTACTCCACGGAATACTACTTTATTATTTCTGTAAATTGTTATTTTGGGAATAGTAAATTTATTCTAGTTGTTTAGCACGTCTGAGCCAGTCATTGGTTAGTATCATGCGTTTGTTCGAATGTAAAGAAGAAACGCGTCTGGGAATGGGAGGTAATCGTGTATATGTATATATATGTATATGAATATGATTATCAGAGGGAGGTAGAGGTAGGTTCGCCAGGACGGGTCCTGGCCCGGGTCTTTTGTGTGGTGACCCGGCACCTACACGGGAGGGCTAGGATTTTTAACCCCGGAGGGTTAGCCACCCAGGATAACCCAAGAAAGTCAGTGCGTCATCGAGGACTGTCTTATTTCCATTGGGGTCCTTAATCTTGTCCCCCAGGATGCGACCCACACCAGTCGAATAACACCCAGGTACCTATTTACTGCTAGGTGAACAGGACAACAGGTGTAAGGAAACGTGTCGAACTGTTTCCACCCGCCGGGAATCGAACTCGGGCCCTCCGTGTGTGAAGCGGGAGCTTAAGCCACCAGGCCACCAAGTCAACTCCAAGTCTCCAATTACTTGAGTCAAGAGCTCTTTGCTACCATCATGGCAACCCTCACCCCATGAAGGCATATTGCACGTTGCACCTAGATGTGTCTAATCATGGCCCCTTAATGTTAGTGATTCTGTAATTCATAATTGATGCTTGTCAAGATCTTGATCAGAGGAACTGGACCTATCCTCCCCTTCATTGTTTCGAACCTTATTAAAAACGCCTATAATATTTATAACATACTGACATGAGTAAAGCAAAGTTTGTTTTCCATGGTTGAAGTCTTGGACCAGGGTTGTTGTGCCAAGAGCGCACTTGTTTTATTGTTTAACTTACTGTGGACTTCACTAAGTGCCACTCTTATGTAGGAATGTGTGTTTTTATAACTTAATGTACCCGGAAAGAGTCATAATTAATTGATTGTGAGCACTCCCGGAGAATAGCATGGTTGGGCCTCACTGGCATATCATTGAGGGTTTAGTCGATATCAGAACATTACCGCCTTTCCTAGGTTAATGTGATTCTTAAACCCAACAAAAACAATAGATGTATCTGGTATACAGGTTTATTACGCCAGTCATGGTGGCATGTCTCGCTCTGGTCTGAGCACTGGTGACAAATCTCCCCAGTTTTCTCAGCGATGCTTAGTCTGCCCTCTGGGCACATGTTAGTCGCCTCTGTATTCGCTAAATAACCCACTGGTAGGCAAAACGTTTATCTTGATTCCAAGCCTTCTTACATTTGGTGGAGATTCGTGCATGTTCAACAGAGTAATGTCAGTTGTTATCACACAGGTGAACCTGATGATGGCTCCACCAACAAGGACACACCAACGGTTACCTCTACGCCCACCATTAAGAAACCTCAACACCCATCCCGCCCACTGCCCACTCCAGTGCCACCATCTGCACCACCCACACTCCCACCCTTCCCAGTGCCAGTGCTCCCACCTGTAAGTTTTAAATTTATTTAGGATTGTTCTAGCTTAAGTGACAAGTTTTCGCTGATGGAGCAGTGGCACTTGGGATACTTAGTTTTATTTATTTGTTGCCATCCAAATCTTATATAGGAAGAACCTGTAAATTACAGAAAGTGCTACTTACAACTATAATGCTTCAATATCGAAATGTTCAAATTTCATTGTTTCAAATACTCAATTGTACTTGACTGAAGAGCCTACTGTGTAGGCGAAACGTTTCGGAATAAAGTTGTCTAACTGTTGCATATGTGTCTTACCTAACAACCTTCGGTATTGTATACCATTTTGATGTTATCTTGTCAGACACTGCAACACGTGGATCTTGGTACAGAAAACACCTTGGACAAGCTTTTCAAGTGAGAAAGGGTTGAGATTGAGATGACATGACCTACAGTTCCTTCATGGACTGACTATACTCGCTACATACTATAACCTGAAACCTTCCTTTCGACAGTATTTAATCCCAGCACTGTGCTTGGTCTTCAGATAAGTCCTGAGCATGGGCTGAACTGGAACTTCTCAGCCGAGGGAATACCTCAAATTCTACGACTTTAAGGGTGATGGAACTGATTAATTCGTCTGTTGACATTTACTGTTCCTGCCTACTTTCTGTATTCGACTGAGAAGCTACTGTGTAGGCGAAACGTTTCGGAATCAAAGTTGTCTACTGTTGCATATGTGTCTTACTAACACTTCAGGTATTGTTACCATATTTGATGTTCATCTTGGTCGAGACTGCAACGTTTGCAATTGGTACTAAACACCTTGACAAGCTTTTTCAAGTGGAGGGTTGGTCTGAGGACATGACCTCTCGAGTTGCCTCAACCCTACTCTACTACTTACTACTAGTACTCACTGGCACTCTCCTTCCGACAGTATTTAAGTCTCGCACTGTGCCTTAGTCTTCAGTAGTTCCTACTATGGAACTGAACTTCTCCCCTTCATTGTTTCGACCTTATTAAACGCCTTGAATTTACATCTGAATGAGTAAAGAACGTTTGTTATCCATGGTGGAAATCTTGACAGGTTGTTGTGCCATGAGCGCACTTGTTTTATTGTTTTAACTGACTGTGGACTTCACTAATGGCCACTATGTAGGAATGTGTGTTCTTTAGAACTTTATTGTACGGAAGAGTCATAATTAATTGTTGTGAGCCTCCCGAGGAATAGCATGGTTGGGCCTCACTGATATCTTGAGTGGTTTAAGTCGATATCAGAACATTACCACCTTTCCTAGGTTAAGTGATTCTTACCCAACAAAAATCGATCGCTACCTCCCTATAACAGGTTTATTAACGCAGTCATGGTGGCATTCTCGCTCTGTTGAGCATTGTGACAAATCTCCCCAGTTTGCCTCGGATGCTTAGTCTGCCTCTTGGGCAATGTTATCGCCTCTTATTCGCTAAATAACCCACTAAGTAGGCAAAACGTTTATCTTGATTCCAGCCTTTAATTTGGTGGATAATTTCAGTGCATGATTAACGAGTATATTACTTTGTTATCACACAGTGTACTTGATTTATGGCTCACCAAACAATGGAACACCAACGGTTACCTTCTACGCCCACCATTAGAAACCTCACGGTAATTCCCACACGCCACCATGCCACATCTCAACCACCATTTCCCACACTTCCAGTGCCAGTGCGTGAGCCTGTAAGTTTTGAATTTATTTAGGATGTTCTAGCTTAGTGACAAGTTTTCGCTGTGGCAGTGGCACTGGATACTTAGTTTTATTTATTTGTTGCCATCCAAATCTTATATAGGAAGAACCTGTAAATTACAGAAAGTGCTACTTACAACTATAATGCTTCAATATCGAAATGTTCAAATTTCATTGTTTCAAATACTCAATTGTACTTCATATTGTAAATTGTTTACTGTAATTTTTAACACTGAACCTTTCATTACTTGTTAATTTTAAGTTAATTTTAAGCCTGCCCATAATGCTCTGCATACAAGGGGCTTTTGGCATGTACACCCAACTAATATAATTCCTTGTACAACTATGTATCATGTCCAAATAAACTATATATTAAAAGAGACCAGAAAAATTTCTTCACAGATAGAGCACTAATACTATATTTTTAAGCGCTAAACCCATATGAGTCATACAGGGCTATGAAGTGCAGTAGATAGCTGGACAGAGCTCCAGGAGGTAGTGTGTGCTGTAACCACTACACTTGAAATTCTTTGACAGTAAATATTGAGGATAGAACACAGGTCACATAGCTCTGATCCTGTATCATACAAGGCTAAACAAAAAATATGAGAAATCCAAAATTTGAAAGAATAAAAAATAACAACATAAGGAACCAAATGAAGGGATGGACTCCACATTAGAGAAACAAAATGAGCAGTAAGAACTTTAAAGGTACTGTATTTTAATATCTTGTCAGTTTTTGGGAGGTTCCAGAATTTAGAATGCCAGATTTTTAGTTTTATTATAATTTAGTGAAATACAGAACCGCTTATTCGCTCTTAGCATCCTTAAGGGATGCATTCCACAATAAGTTTGTAAATGATAACTTTGTGGATATGGAAGGAAAAGAGGGAATACATATGCATAAATTCAAGGATTTTTGGATTAAAATAAGGGTGGGATGCAAAAAGTGGGTCATACTAAGTGTTTATTCACCCAGGGAAGAGAGGAGTATAGAGGAGATAGGGAGAGATTTGGTGAGATATTAGCTGTATTACCCTTATGGGTTTAGCACTTGGTTTTGATTAGATTATGGGGAGTGCTAAACCCGTAGGGATTATACAGTGTCTGTGAGGGGGATGGAAGGCATTCAGGCTCATTCAGGGAATGGGAGCACAGATCCAATTCCCTAGATCAAGGGCCCCTCACCATCATCAAGGAACCTCCCTTGAGAGGTAATATATATACAAGGTGATCTGTTCCTGTTAATTGTGGTTCCAAGAGCCATTCTTGCAGATAGCAGCACATACACCACATGTAAGCTGTGGATTTGTGAATCTAACTGAGAAGGATAAGCAGTGGTGTGAGACTTATTGTCATGTTAGTAAATTCACTGATGAGCAAATGTGTATACTGAGGAATATATTACAGGTACACTGTTGCATTTTACATCTTTTGTGCAATACAAAAGGGGAAAACAGTAAAGAAGGCTATTTTCTGCTAGGTTTCAGTTTGGATAATTGTTTTTTAATGGATATGTAATGTAAATAATTCAGCTGTGCTTATTTTTTAAATCTAAATACAGTACTACATAATTTTATGTTGCTTGTATTTAATATACTTCTCCATTTTCTGTTTCCAGAAATATGATTTAACATTGGAGGTGATTGATGTTCACAATAATGAAACATTCCTTGTATGGGAACGTGAGCGTGATATGCAGGCAACCCACTCCATAACAGCTGAGAAACTTAATGTATCATGCATGTTCAATACACAGACAGCAGAGGGCTACTTAGTAGAGGGTAAGTAGCATGGTGGCTGACATGGGATACTTGGGGAATAGCAGATCAATTACCTTTCTCAAGGATTAGCTAATACAATACAATATTGCAAGTTCCAGCATTAGTATGATCATTTCTGATGCAGGTGTGAAGTGTGTTCGTTACAGCGTTCTACCCCAAAGATGTTTCTGTACTTCCCACTTCTGTCGGCCATATGTAGCTGTGGGCACGCTTCTCAATTATCTTCGTACTGAAAATGCAAGTTCCACCCAGGTGAGACGCCAGTGTGTATTTGCAAATTATTTCTTATCAGCCGAATATGTTTATCATTTTCACTGGGGATCTCCTGTTACTTGGAGAGTTCTGGGGTCAACGCCCCTGCTGCCCGGTCTATGACCAGGCCTCATGGTGGATCAGGGCCTGATCAACCAGGCTGTTACTGCTGGCTGCACACAGTCCAATGTACGAACCACAGCCCGGCTGGTCAGGTACTGACTTTAGGTGCCTGTTAAGTGCCTGCTTGAAGATAGCCAGGGGTCTATTGGTAATCCCCCTTATGTATGCTGGGAGGCAGTTGAACAGTCTTGGATCCCTGACACTTATTGTGTTGTCTCTTATCGTGCTAGTGGCACCCCTGCTTTTCATTGGGGGGATGTTGCATCGTCTCCTGAGTCTTTTGCTTTCATATGGAGTGATTTTCATGTGCAAGTTAAAGTTTTGCCTTGACTGGCTCATAAAGACATCATACATATTTTTATATCCTTACATTGAGTGGTAATCATACTTTGCAACATTAGAATACAGTATACCATATTTTCCGGCATATAAGTCGAGTTTCCCCCCCCCCACCCCCCCCCCCAAAAAAAAAAAAAAAGTCTTGGAAAAATCACCCTGCACATTGAACATATAATGTTCAATGTCAGGTCAAGGGTAGGCTCTTGGTTACACTTTAGTAGTTATTTACTAATGTTACATTACAACTACTTTGAAACATAATGCCAGCAAGCAGCTGACACTTGTGCACCTTATATGCTGGAAAATATTTTAATGTGCATAATTATAAGCATGAATAATGTGTAATTCTTATGTACCTCTTGGATAATAAATTTGTTTTTTATTTATGCATTAGAATACATTTGCTATATAGCACTGCAACATGCAATATCATTTGTCTAATATATAATGATCATCTGTGGGTAATTATTCAACAGGCATAGCATCAGATAACACACACTAATTTGTTTACCAGCAGGAAAGAGTTGGTGGTGCAGGTGGAGTGGAGGTGGCTGTGTGGCATGCAGGAGATCACGACATGGTTGTAGAAGCGGTCTATACTCGTACTGCTGTCGGTCAACTGACACCTCTCTCCTTCACTGTTAGAGGAGCTGGTAAGAAGGAAGGGCAGTAGTGTAGTTGCTTGCCATTATGTGGAAGGAGGATGACTGATGTATATAGACTGTAATGTTCATTATTAAAAAGCAACATGTGTAATACTTCATTTTTTTAGATTAAGCTTGTTTTATTTTGTTTATAGAATTATTTTTATAACAAAAAATAATTAAAGTACTTGAGAATGTGTAATAATAATACCTTATTTCCAAGAAGTGTTCAGTTTTATGGGAATCTCATAGTATTTACTTAAAATAAGACCTAAACAACTGAATTCTTAAAAAAAATATTGTATACCAGTAGATGCAAAGCTAATTATGTCTTATGAGTAAAGCAAAAGATTGGTAATATACTTTAGGAACATGGTAAAGAATATTGTAATAACCCAGTACTTTTTCACTAGAGCATAGGTAATATGGAAATGCTGAGCTGATGCTTTGGGAATACAATAGACGAGAAAACTACGTAATATAATTTGAGTGTTGTGTGTAAGTATGGCCTTGGGGCTCATGGTATGCATAACATTTAAGTTTTCCAATTTTGATCTCAAAGAGAACAAGACAGTTATAAATATCACAATGAGAGAGAAGTAGTGAAGCTTGCTAAAATTTACTTAATTTATTGTTTTATCACAGAGTAATAGGCAGCAGTTTACCAATGCATTCTTGTGAAAATTTGTCACTCTCTGATGATGACTTTCTCATAAGGTCGGGTATTCAAGCTACATGGCGGACCATTTTGGTTACAATATCGGGTCAAGTCGTGGGCTTTAGATACCGACTCAGTATATGATCTGGTAGCTACAGCTCCTGGAGTCTTCTGTCCTGGTTATGTGAGGAAGTTCCTCCCAAAGCTTGCTAATCAGTTTTCACTTACAATGGAGACTGTAATAGAGGTAAATACTCTGTTTTTTTCAGTTATTCTGCACTAACATTATTACTATGACTGAAAATGCATGAAGGCTTTAGGCTTATATTAATAAGATGCTTATATTAAAGAATAAGCTGCTCTTTGCATTTTCTTATGAGAATATCACATTTCTTTTTGTGAAAAGCATAACACCATATGTATTAAGAAGCCTCCCATATTCTAAATAAAGGTGCACAACCAGCAGCTTGCAGCCCTTGGGTAGCACACTTGTGGCTCTCAGTGTCACTGGCTTTTCTAAGTTTATAAAATAAACTGCATAGTTTTTTCAGTAATTAATATTTATTAAAAAGGTTATGCATTCCTGTTCTAAATAATAAATAGGTGTCACTGGGACAGTGTAAGTGGCCTTATCTCGTGTATTTTATTCAGTGCCATGTACCAATAATATTTATTTACCACAGCAACCATTTTCCCCCAAGTTAGGGTGATCTAAATTCAAATTCAAATTCAAAGTTTATTCTCTATAAGGATTACAATGCTGAGTTTACAGAATTTGGTTATTGTGTGGTTTACATGTAGTAAAATAATAATTACAGAGTGTACCACTAGAACACCTAGCATGGCTAAGCATTTCGGGCAGACTTAGATTAAATCTTAAGTTTAAAATATTACAAAATTATGAGGTAAGTTGGTATTATGGCTAAGTGACTAAATACTAGTTTGTGAGTTTAGCAATGTCAATGCTTTTATTTTGGCACTATACATAGTTTCAGTATTGGAGTATCACAGTCCAACTTATGACTAGTTAAGATTCATTATTTTGACATTGAGATTGATATTTCTGTTTATGGTCAAATGGGTGAGTGAGTGTAAGTGTGAACCACCAGGTGGTATTCGTATAATTAGTTGACAGGGTGTATCGGGAGATAAGATGTTTTCTGATGGTAGTTTTGAAGGTGATGAATGTGTCTGCAGTTTTAGAATTTTCAGGTAGGGTGTTCCAGATTTTAGGGCCTTTGACATACATTGAATTTTTGTAAAGGTTTAGTTGGACACGGGGAATGTCATAGAGATGTTTGTGTCTGGTGTTGCGCCTGTGGGTTCTGTCACAACCATCAAGAAAGCGTTTTAGGTCAAGGTTAATATTGGAATTTAAGGTCCTGTAGATGTAGATTGCACAGTAGTAAGTGTGGATGTACTGAACAGGGAGTAAGTTTAGATCTATGAAGAGTGGGGGGGTATGTTGCCAGGGATGGGATTTAGTGATTATTCTTACTGCGGCTTTTTATTGGGTTATTATTGGCTTTAGGTGTGTTGCTGCAGTTGAACCCCAAGCACAGATAGCATAGGTGAGGTATGGATATATAAGTGAATGGTATAGTGTGAGAAGGGCATTTTGCAGCACGTAGTAACGTATCTTGGAGATGATCCCAACCGTTTTGGATACTTTTTTGGTTATGTGTTGGCTATGGGTGCTGAAGTTCAGGTTGTCGAGGTATAGGCCTAGGAATTTACCCTCATTATGCCTGGCAATTAGAGTGTTGTTGATCTTAATGTTAATTTGCGCATCTCCTGCTCTGCTACCAAACATAATGTAGTAGGTTTTGTCAGCGTTAAGCGTAAGTTTATTGGCTGTCATCCAAGTCGATATTTTGATCAGCTCCTCATTAACAATGGTGTTGAGGGTGGCAAGATTAGGGTGAGCGATGACATAAGTTGTGTCGTCAGCAAAGAGAATGGGGTTCAGGTGTTGAGATACGTTTGGAAGATCATTGATGTATATGAGGAAGAGCAGGGGACCAAGGACACTTCCCTGCGGAACTCCAGTATCAAGTGGCTGTGTTGTTGATGCTGTGTCTTTAATGGTGACATACTGATACCTATTAGTAAGGTAAGATTTGAAATAAGCAAGCACATGGCCTCTTATACCATAATGGTCAAGTTTGTGGAGTAGGATGTCGTGGTCTACTGTGTCAAAAGCTTTTCTTAGGTCAATAAAAATTCCTAGTGGATATTCCTTATTTTCCAATGCTGTGTAAAGCAGATCTAGCATTTTTATGATTGCATCGTTAGTGCTTTTATTTTTCCTGAATCCAAATTGGCAGGGGTTGAGTATGTTTTGTGCCGTTATAAATGAATATAGTCTCCTGTGCACAAGTTTCTCAAAGATTTTGGATAGCAATGGTAAGTTTGATATTGGCCTATAGTTATTTAAATCTGTAGGGTCACCACCTTTATGTATTGGTGTAACCCTTGCCGTCTTGAGTAGTTTCGGGAAGGTGCTAGTTTCTAGTGACTTGTTAAAAAGTAATGAGATAGTATGCGAGAGGACATGGGCCGCTCTCTTGTACAATAATGGTGGGACATGAGACAGATTCCCTGAGTTATTTTTAAGTGACTTCATAATCTCGGTGACTTCCATGGGCTCAGTTGGAGCAAGATAGAAGGAATTTGGGAAATTCCCATCTAGGTAGTCCCCGGCATGGGCATTGGTACGTGGGATTTTATTGGCGAGATTAGAACCTATGGTTGAGAAGAAGTCGTTTATCTTGTTAGCTGTGTCAGTGGGTTGCAGTGGTGTTTCATTAGGTTTAGTTAGGACAATATTCTTGTTTTTTTTCAGTTTGTGGGTCCCTAGAATCTGAGAGAGTGTTTTCCAGGTCTTTTTTATATCTCCTCTTGTGTCAGTGAATCTACTGTAGTAGTATAGTTGTTTGGCTTTCTTTATTACTTTGGTGAGGACTGATGAATAGTGTTTAAGAATATCTTTGTGTATTAAGCCCTGTCTATATTGCTTTTCATATTGGTGTTTCTTATCAATGGATTTCAGAATGGTGCTGGTTAGTCATGGGCAACCAAGCCGTTTGTTTGTGATCTGTTTCGTTTTTATAGGACAATGTTTGTTGTATAGTCTAAGTAGTTTGTTAAGAAAAATGTCTGTCCAGTCATCAATACCATTGGCCTTGGAAGAAGAAAGTATTCACTATGTACCAAAAACCACACTTTTTACATACTCATTGAAGATATGTACATACTACTTTTAAACTTCATTTTTTATCTGCATAACCTTCCTGCTTGCATCAGCTTTTTGCCAAATCATAAGATATATAATTTAATTAATCTTTTGTGATGCATTCCATAAAATAATTAATTGTGCTCATTTTTTATATTTTGTCATACTGTATTGCCTTTGTCTTTTAGAATTTGGGAACCATCGCCTATGAGTCACAGCACTATGAGTCAGAGGAGAAGCTGGTATCGTTCACCTACCTGCCACATTTGCATGCTGATGGCATGTTCCTCCTCAGTATTCCAGGGCTCACAGATATGGCTATTGAGACTTACAGGGTTATCCACGACTTCAAGACTGGTCAGTTGATAATGCCGGATGTAGCTTTGTTCTGCTTAAGAATAAGGGAGATGAGAATGATTGGAGATATTGAAATTAATCTTGTTATGCTCAGGGAAAGTGTTAAATCTGCAAGGGTCATAACAGTGCATGGGAATGGGAGGAAATCAGATATGATCTAAGGAAAAAAAAAACCAAACCATACCACGGGCGGGGATAGAACCCGCAATCAGAGAGTCTCAAAACTCCAGACCGTCGCGTTAGCCACTGGTATGGTTTGTTTGCAATCGTGTTATTACGATTTCGTGAGTCATGATCTAAGGAAAGGGGGAATCGTTTAAATTTTTTGGATCAAGTTCTTCATTAGTATCAAGGGACATACAGTGGACCCCCGGTTAACGATATTTTTTCACTCCAGAAGTATGTTCAGGTGCCAGTACTGACCGAATTTGTTCCCATAAGAAATATTGTGAAGTAGATTAGTCCATTTCAGACCCCCAAACATACACGTACAAACGCATTTACATAAATACACTTACATAATTGGTCGCATTCGGAGGTAATCGTTATGCGGGGGTCCACTGTATATGATCTTCCTTGTGGCTTAACATTTAAACAAATGAAAAAAGTTTTAGACAAAAAATCAAAACAGGTAAAAGAACTCTGTAAAGTATATTTTTACTGCAGTCAGACTTCATCAGACCAAAACCAAAATATACAGACCTCTCTGTGCTTGCTTTTTTGTCCGAGTAGTTTTTTCACTTTTCATTGATCCTTGTTTATGATGCTTTACCCTTCCATAAGAAGCAATGCTCCCCTTCCTTGGATCAAGCCTGATTACTTTTTATCCCCTGGACACTGACTCCTAGGGATTTACACATTTCTACATGAATCTTATAGAAGTAATTATGACACTTTAATCTAGACATGTAAAAATATCTAACAACATTTTTTTTTGGCTGTTTGCTGGTGGTACTTTAGGTATACAATATATGATCAATGAGAAGACAAGTAACTGCACCATCCAGGGCATCCCAGTGTCTGCCTTGGATGCTGCCCCAACAGACAACCAGCACATTCGCCTCCGTCATGCCTCCGAGCTCATCTTTATGGATCCCAACGCATTTATTTATAAAGGCACAGTTAGTTTCTATTTTATTGCTGTCTTCTCAACTTTGATATAGTTTGTTGACTATATTTTGTAACTTTTTTATATCTGTGAAATTTTCATGTGTCAGTAAATGTGCATTTACTGGGCATAAGTCATAAAAATAATCTTCCTCCATTCACATAAACTAAGACACTCACATGTTCCTGTTGGATGTTCAAATTCCTAACACTAAACCATCTTAACCTCCTCCCTACAACCCTTCCTGGGATGGGTTAGCTAATTTCAAGCCATACTTTATTAATTTCAGAAGAGTCATTGTAGTATGTACCTAATTAAATATACAACAATTAAAACTGACATTAATTTGAAATTTAAATTCTCAGTGACACTGGTGGTCCTGCCTGTCTGCTACCCAGTGATAAGCATCTTGCAGCCCAGTTATGACCATCTCTTTGAGGAACCTGGTTTATAGAAATTAATTTCATGGTAAAGAATGTGTGAAAATATACTAAAAAGGATAGAGATGTGTCATTATTTTTTCAGAAATTTCCTTTAATGTTAGCTTTCAATAAGCAAGTTTTTGTTCTTTGCTGTACAACACAGTCAATGAATATGTCTATCTCATCGTATTTACAGAGGCGAGTAAGGGGAATTCTGTGTGATGTGTGGGTGTTGGAACGAGGAATCAGAAAAGGCCAGTATTCTACTGTGGAGATCTACTTTTCCCATGAGAACTGGACTGTAGAAGTGGAAGTCTTCAACAAGGTTCGCCAAGTGCCTATTGGCATCTCCTCCTATATTGCTGATAATGTAAGTTTACAAGATGTCTGTAGTTTTTTTCTTAGCTGAATTTATTTCTTTAATATCAGTCATTTTTCATCAAGGCATGGTAGAACAAAGAAGAAAGATCATTCACCACCATTGCCTCCCTAGCCATCATTTTTAGATGGACACATACATCACATTTGTAGGTAGTAGGCTGGTAGACAGCAACTGCCCAGGGAGGTACTTGCGTCCTTCCAAGTGAGTGTAAAACGGAAACCTGTAATTGTTTTACATGATGGTAGGATTGCTGGTGTCCTGTTTTCTGTCTCATAAACATGCAAGATTTCAGGTACGTCTTGCTACTTCTACTTACACTTGAGTCACACTACGCATACATGTACAAGCATATATATACACACCCTTCTGGGTTTTCTGCTATTTTCTTTCTAGTTCTTGTTCATTTCCTCTTATCTCCACGGGGAAGTGGAACAGAATTCTTCCTCCGTAAGCCATGCGTGTTGTAAGAGGCGACTAAAATGCCGGAGGCAAGGGGCTAGTAACCCCTTCTCTTGTATAAATTACTAAATTTAAAAAGAGAAGCTTTCGTTTTTCTTTTTGGGCCACCCTGCCTTGGTGGGATACGGCCGATTTGTTGAAAAAAGAAAAATACATCACATTGCAGTGGGTACTCGTGGCTCAGATGATAGCATCCTCAGCTCACACACTGAGGGACCAGGATCAGTTCCAGTATGGGTGAAACATTTGACATACTTCTGTACACCTGCTGTCCTTGTTCACCTAGAATTAAGTTGGTACCTGGGTGTTAGTTGACTGCTATGGGTCACATCCTAGGAAAGGAAATTAAAGGACCCCAGTGGAAATATGAACGACAGTCCTCGGTGATGAACGAATTTTGAGTTAATCTATATGGCTAGCCTTCCAGATTAAAAATCATAATAAAATCTTATCTGAACTGCAACAACCAATTCAACACTTTCAATATTTCATTTTAATCTTAAAATCATTGTTGCACTTCCCACTTTCATCCACATAATTGCATCATCTTTCATACTCATTTTTGACTCTTCCTTCATTCTTATAAATATCATTCTTCATAAGAAATTTCTGCCTTTTATTCATCATATATATATTTAACATACAAGGGGAAGCATTGAACCTGTAATCATATACCTCATACATCATTGATCAGCCTCTGTAATCCTGTGCATTATGTATACTACTTAGTACTTATGCATAATCAAGAGATTTGCTTTTTTTTTTTTTTTTTTTTCCTCAGGATAACCCAAGCCTTTGGACATCTGTGGTTCACACTTTCTTCTATGAGTACAGAGATGGTCACCCTTCATGGCGTCAGTTTGACATTTCTCCCTGCCTTAACCGCATCAACCGTCTCTTCCTGAAATTTACCCTAGAAGTATCCTACTCTGAGCTCATACACTACAATTTGGAAGGTGCTAAGAACTCCATTAGAAGATGTGTGGCTGGCATTGCAGGTGTCTCACCTCTGAGGATCACTGATCTCTTTGTAAGTAAATTGCATATGAGTAAGTAAACCATATTTTAGTTTAGCATTTTTGAATGTGTTAGGCTTAGTAATCTTTCCATATTTACAGAAGATGCATTTCCAGAAAATACAGAAACTACAAATACTGATGACATTTTTATGCATCGTGGAATACTATGCATTAAAGTGAACCTTTAATGTACAGTACATGTTATATGCTGCATGTATAATACTTACACTTGATGTGTATGACAATTTAATGAAAATTATATGATGCTGATGTTGGGGGGGAAAATAATCATGACTTCTTTGTGGGATTATCCAAGGATACCTTCGGAGATCATGTCTGTAATGACAAGCTGTAGTGATTAGTAGTGTCTGTGTTGGCTCTGATTTATATAAAAAAAAGTTATGATTGGGCTGCTGTATGCTGAAGGTGTCAGTGGAGTTCTTATCTATCAGTTAATCCTCCACAATAAATGTATTCAGAAAGTCTGCTAGATTCTGCCTTACAATTGGAAAAAGAAGTTCAGATTTAATCATTTAACTCAATTATCCTCATTTTCACTGTCATTTGATGTTATCATTATTTATATTTTTTTTTACTCAGCTATCTCCTGCCAAGACATGGTGACCCAAAGAAGAAAGCATGTTCACCATTGTTTATCCAAATGCTGTCTTTCCAGAAGTGTGCCGACATCACAATCATATTACCCTCCTTACTTCCCCAGAGAGTATTCACTGTCCTTCTTACCTCCAGGACTCGAGTCCAGCTAACTGGTTTTCCTTGAATTCCTTCGTAAAAGTTACCTTGCTCACGCTGCAACAGCATATCCATTAAAAACCACTTGTCTCCTGTCACTCCTAGCTAACATGCTCATACAAGCCTGCCGGATGCTCAGGCTCCTAACCCTCTTGTAGTGCCTCCCTCTAACCGTTCCTGTGATAACCCTCCCCCCTCTACTCCTAGATTTATATACTACCATAAGATAAGAGATAAGATTTCGTTCGGATTTTTAACCCCGGAAGGTTAGCCACCCGGGATAACCCAAGAAAGTCAGTGCATCATCGAGGACTGTCTAACTCATTTCCATTGGAGTCCTCAATCTTGTCCCCCAGGATGCAACCCACACCAGTCGACTAACACCCAGGTACCTATTTGCGGCTAGGTGAACAGGACGACAGATGTAAGGAAATGTTTCCACCCGCCGGGAATCGAACCCGGGCCCTCCGAGTGTGAAGTGGGAGCTTTAGCCACCGGGCCACCCACCCACCATCTTCATCAGTCTGTCTCTCTCCATGTCCAAAACACCTCAACAACTCCACAACCCTCTGAATTACACCTTCAGTGATCCCACAGAAATGCTAAAAGCAAGTGAAGATATAGTGTTGAAGTGGTTGATGTCTTTTTTTAATACAATGGAACCTCGGTATGCGACCTTAATTCATTCCAGAAGGCTGTTCGAGTGCTGCTCCATTTGAGTGCTGAATAAGTTCTTCCCAACCAATTTTCTGTTATCACTAATCTTTGTAGGCCCCATGGTGACTTATTTATACAAATAATACAAAAAACATCAAAAAATGCGAAGAAACACAAAATAGTTTGCAGTGAAGTTCTGGCAGGTCATACTTGTTTTGTCGAATGCGGAGCTTTGTTCGAGTAGGGAGCTGGTCGTATACTGAGGTTCTGCTGTATATGCATGAAAGAAGGGAAGGCACCAAAAGATTGACAAAGAGCATGAAAAGGTCCCTTGTTTAAGGGTGAAGGGGACAGGAGAGAATGTGTGTTCTTTTAACATGGCTGTTTCCCACCAAGGTAGGGTGACCCAAAAAGAAAGAAAAAAACTTTCATCATTCAACATCACTCATACATAATCACTGTCTTTGCAGAGAGAATGTATTATACAGTACTCAAAAGGTACTAAACTCAAATGGGCAATACAAAGTATTTTATGTCATCACAGGGTTTTTTGTAAATGTGATTCAAAAAGTACATCCAAAATTGAATAGTGCATGAAAAGACCTTTAATAATAATCATAATACTGCCAGTTGCATTGTCACACTGGCACTGAATGTAGATGACTTTTATTTTTAAGACCAGTAACATTTAATATCATTACATTGTGTGACATTCTTAACAGCTGAGCAGTCGTCAGGCCAGAGGGGAAGTTGATACCTGGTTTGTGTTGCTTGAGAAACCTGATGTGACTGGCCCTGTATTGACTCCCCGTCCACAACTCATGATGGCTGATGCTTACAAGATTCTACACAACATCATCCAGAAGAATAATATGACAGTAAAATTGGATCTTTCACCCAAGAAGAAACTTGTAAGTATCAGTAGTCTTGTTAGTGACTTTTTATTTAAATTTTTTACCACTGGCCATTTTTCACTAAGGTAGGATGACCCAAAGGATATACAGTCACAATCACTGTTTTACTCTACACCCCTTGGAAGTGCACAGACATCACAATTCAAATGACTGTCCAACCTCATCATTCCCACTAATCCTTTAGAGTGCATGCAAAAGTACTGGGGCAAGACTAAGGAACAGAGGCCACCGACAAATACAGTATGTCATCCATGCAACAGAGAAAGAGATAAAGAAGCTTTTGATGTACCTGGGTACATCATTAGTAATGGGACCTGACAACATGGCTTCTGTGAGAGGGTGCAGCTTTGATCTACAATAAGTCAATGGATACAGGACAGTTACCAGAGATCTAGAAGATGGCAAATGTAGTCCCTATAATTAAGACAGATGGACAGGTGGTATTAAATAACAGACCAGTTCCTAAGACATTCATACTTTGCAAGATAATGGGAGAAACATATCAGAGAGAGTAGTAGTTTCATAAACATTAACTGACCAAAATCACCTCTGTTTAATTAATATGTCTTCCATTCTATTATTGCCAAGAAACGGTCAATAAAATCATAAAAACCACTTTATATTAAAACAAAAACACAGGGTAAGAGGTTTGCATTTCCCATCATGCCCTGCATGGAGCAGAATATTTTTTTTTTCTACTATGCACTCATTGCATAGACCTATTCATGTCTAGACTAAAATTTACCACATACAATATGTTTGAGGGAGCTGTGCTTAAAACATAGATCTACACGGGTGAAACTGGTCAGTGACATAAATCTACATGAGAGTGTTAAAGGGTTAGCCCTGCAACATTTACTCTCCAACCTAGGGGGCCCAGTCTGAGATTATGCTATGAGGAAGATTAACCTCCAGAACCACTAACCGATGACATATGAGTGGTTAAAAAACATGCATTGTTGATTTATGCACTTATTGGTGATATGTAGACATCTGTCTGAGTATCAGTGATACTTTTCCCATTCTCTCCCATGTCCTCGTATTCTACCTGCTCTGCTCATTTGTCAGGGCATCATTCATTCATAACCTTCAGTTTTACAACTGTGGGGGGGTTGGGTAAGCTTGGCATTGACTAGGGTAGAGCACTTAAGTCATTATTATTATAATCAAAAGAAGTGCTAAACCTTGCGCTTAGTCATTGGTAGGATGTGGGCATCTGGATCTGCTCAGGTTTGGGTTTGAAGTCCACTTTACCTAACTGAGAACACTTTTTTTTTTTTTTGCGAGTTTCCATGGGGAACTTGTTTCTTTCTACCATAATTGCTGTTCTGGTTGGGGTAATAGTTTTTGCTTGGGATAAATTCCTGTCAATTTAATTTCAAGTTCAAAAGAACCCCAACTGATATGATGCAAATACTAGACAATCTGTGCATCACTTGAAAATATGAAGATCTCTGTTCTCTTAATGATATGTGCAGTTTACTAAGAGGTTTCTTCTAGCGATTACACAAGTTGTATGTTGTCACTCTTGTTTGTTCCAGGATATATGCTGTCACTACTGGGCATTTGCTCAAGTCTTGTATAAAAAAAAAATATTCTTTTGAAAACTCACCTATGTATCGGTAACCCCTTTCTTCACTATAAACTAGTCAATTTATAGTTCTTCTATGATGTCTATGATATTATAACTTTTGGAAATGACAATTTTGCTAAATATGACTTTAGGGGAAGAAAAACACATTTTGTATAGTACAATACACTGTAATGACAGCACAATGTTTAAACATAAAAGATCTTTGCCCACTTTGTTAGAGGCACATTTACTATACAAAGCAATTTGCGATACCTATATATAACATTCACCCATTCTCCTGTTTTTCAGTTTGTGAATATTAAGCGTGGCTCACTTGAGACAACAACAGAGGCATTGCACCCTCACATGAGGCACAAGTCTATGCGGTACCTGAAGGCTGGTTATACTGCAGGCAGCATGGCAGGTTTAGGTTTCTCTATGGCCATCCTGGGAACCTGCGTAGGGATATTTGTTGGATTCCTACTTTGGAAGCGTCATTCATCTGTGCCCTATCAAGTGACAGACTGACGGCGAGGATACGTCGACCTAGATGGGCCCAGCATCCTTACATGAATGGTTGACAGCAGAACATAGTGACAGCAAAGTGAGTAATATATTCAATTTTAATCAAGCTTTGGTTGAAAGCTAAATGCACAAAAACAAGTACCATCTCTGCTCATGGCAAAAGTACTTTAAGATGAGTTTCATTTCTTTAGTGATGGCAAAACTCTGAAGTACTGGATGCATGCTTTAAGATGAGTACTATCTATTTCGTGATAATGTGACTCTCAAATCCCAGGTACTGTGTATACCTTAAGGTGATGGCATCTCTCTCAGGTACCAGATGCATATCTTAAGGTGAGTGCCATCTTTGTGCTGATGGTGTATCTCATGTACTAGGCAATACCTTAGGATGAGTGCCATCTCTTTGTTGATGACTTATCAAGTATCTTGTTACTACTATATTCAGGGGAAGCACTAAACCCAAAGGGGTCATTCAGTGCCTGGGGAATGAGACAGTCACATTCGATCCAAGGAAGGGGAGACTGGTCCAATTCCTTGGATCAAGGAATCTCCTTTGAGAGGTGGGTATGTACCCTAAGATAGCTCAAGTGAGTGGTGTAATAACTGGTTTCCCCTGGTCCTCAACATATAGATTATAAGTTTGATACAGTGAGTAGATGGTTTTAGGATCATTTCATCACTTAGAAGTGTTTTCCTCTACTATTATATTATTATTCAGATATCTTGATTTTATGTCTAGTAAGGACAAACTAAAGTATGCGAAAATACCCTCCAGAAATGGGAAAATGGTTGGCAAAGGTAGTGAGAATCACCAAGGATTCATCATACGTATCAGTAAATAAATGATATATGTATATCAGTAGGTAGGTGAGCAAGAAACTTGCAACAGTTGTGAAGTTTCAGCAGGGATACCCCTGTTTAGCAAGATTTAGTTCTTCAGTCAAATACAGAAGTGACAAATATTGGAGACATCAGGAGCAGTGGAGAGGTGATAAGTTTCTCACCCTTGAACACCTCCAAATTACTTTACTGCAAGGCTGAGGAATTTATTTTTCTCATAGTTACCTCTCCAACACTTTTGCCGTCTCTAATATTTAAGTCACAAGAAGCCTGCTGCACAGTCAGAACTTTTCGAAAATAGTTGCCCAAATGTTACAGACATGTCTTGCCTGATCTATCAAGCCAGAAAGAAATATAAAACAATGAAAATTGTTTTGCAAAACGATTTGTTTATTCTGGCCTGATGATGGACCTGTAACTATTCTGGAAAGTATTGCCCATTTAACCATTTCTGGAGGGTGTATCTACATTAAATTTTCAATTTTTTTTTTTAAACTATAGTATATGTAATGCATATTGGTTTACCAATATATCATATTGATATTAATCATCCTCAGATAAATTGTAGCTTAAGTTTCTTTAGATGAGCATTTGACTTAAAAGAATTCCAATATTACTTGTCCCCATATTTTATTTGTTTTGCAGTTGTACTTCAGTAGTATTGTCTTGTATAATAATGCTGACACTTCTAGAAATTTATTTTTATGGTAATAGCCACATTTCACATTAATCTGCCATCTGTAGGAAACATTCTGTATTCTTTTAAAAGATGAAGAATCTCTTTGTATATATTTTTTTTGTAATAAATTAGGCCCCTTTCTCAAGGCATTTCATACAAGACTTCTGTTAACAATGGATCTATAAAAACAAGTCAACAGTATGAGACTAATGCAAATGTTTTTAATCTAGCTAAAGACCCTCTTTGCCTTGAGGATTTCTTATCTTGACCAAAAATATTTATTATTCTCACAGATTTCCCCTAGGGTCAGTGTATATATAGTTCCTTCAGTAATATGCATATACAATAAGGTTTAATGCTCCATAGTGCTCAATAATATTCCAATATAGTAAAATATATTTAAGGGGAAGCATTAAACCCATAGGGGTCATACAGCACCTGGGAAATGGGAGATAGTCAGGCTTTATCCAAGGGAAGGACATGTTCAATTCCTTGAATCAAGAGCCCCTCACCAGCATCAATTATTATGGTCTAAGTACACTCAGCCTGTATAGGTCACAAAAGGCCAAAGAGCTGAGAGAATAAGTGCAACAGATGAAGAATCAGTAAGGAAAGCTAGAGTTGGTAAAATAAGTGTCAATGAAAACAAAATCAGTGTCTACTGAATGTAGGGGTTTCCAAAAGAGCAGGCAATGTGAGTACCCAGGTGCTTAAAAATTGAATCCTACAGGTTCCTTGGTAAATGGAACAATTAAGCAAAAGATGTTCAGCTGTTAGTGAAACTTGACAAGTTACATAGAGAGAGGTGCCTCTCTTATCTCCCTTGTGGGGTCCAACATATTAAAGCTTAAGAGCATCATGGGGCTAACCACTGCTCACGGATTGAGTTAAATTTGTTACATGAGTCACTGCTTGGAAAGTAGAGATTATAATATTCATTAGGTAATAAGTTAGTTGCATTGTTAATATATATATGCACATAGACCACCAATGTCATTTTTCTGTCCAGTTGGTCAAAGGTTATACACACATTTTTATATTGTGTTCATATTTTACTACTCATTTATGTTATTAGTGTCTCAGTAGGAATTTAATTTAATGTAATGCATTTTAATTACAGTGATCCTAGGCCATATTAATTAAGTCAGCTTTCATGATAATTTTTTGACAAGATACTTAGCCAGTGTAGTATTGTAAAAGTAATAGTTCAAATATGATTGATTGGTGTAAATAAGATGGACAGTGCAGGTTGTGGAATTTTATTTTGAAGATGTTTCAGCCACCAGGGACTATCTATTCAAACAGAAAAAGAAATGTGTATTTGTAGGTCCTGAGGTCAAAGAATGAAGTCGCACGCCAATAGCCCGTTGAGTGAGGTTAGGCGATTACAGTATCAGATATGTTGGAAAAATAAGCTTCGCTAAAACCTGTCAGTGATCCTGAGTTTTGATTAATATGGGTTACAGCCAGTTCTAACTCTTTACCTGTATGATGTATACCTGGAGTGTGTTTTGGGGGTCAACGCCTCCCCTTCCCCAGCAGCCTGATGGTGGATCAGGGCCTGTTCAACCAGGCCACACGTAATCCATTGTACGAACCACAACCCGGCTGGTCAGGTAACTGTCCAGTTCCTGCTCGAGAACAGCCAGGGGTCTATTGGTAATCCCCCTGATGTACGCTGGGAGGCAGTTGAACAGTCTTGGGACCCCTGACACGTTTTGTGTTGTCTCTTAGGCTCTATTATTTGTCCTGCTCCTCCTGACATTTTAGACAGAACACCACCGTAAGTTTCTCTGGCGCAGGATACTCGTGCGTTGTTCCAACCATGGTAATTTTGACTTCTTAAGTCTATTTCTGTATGTAGAAAAAAATAAAATTGTATGAAAACCTACTGATTTTATGGAGTTAATCAGTGAAAAAATTGCTCAAAGTGGTATTAATATTTTCTCATTCATTTGTACAATACTTATTATAATCAAAGAGGTGCTAAGCCTACAAGGGTCATATAGCATATGCAGTATTATAATTTTACTAATTTTTTTTGTTTTCTATGACTATGTAAGTCAAAGGCAGGGCTGTCTGGAAGATAAGTACAATCGCTTTGGTATACGAACTTTGACACAGCCCTTTCTTGTAATCCCCTCTCCACCTAACTGTTTACAGCCCCAGCAGCGCTGCACGACTTGTTAGTTTAGCACTTTCTTTGATTATAATATGACTGTGTACATTAGTTTCATATTAATGCTTTTCAAGGTTAGTACTCAAATTATGGAGATATAAAATTTTTAATAAAAATGAAGTGCTAAACCTACAAGGGTCATACAGTGGGGGTAGATACAAAGCCTGACATATCCCCATACAAAATAAATATAAATTGGTAAAAGTACAATTATTTCTTATGTCTTTGAGTACTTTTGTTAAATACTATACATAATTGTAATACATGTACATATAAGATTTCTCTGAGTCATGTGATATCCCTAGAAACTTGGAAGTTATAATATGACTTGTTTTATCCTGGGTCAAAAATATACTGGTACATACTTTGTAATGTATTTTTTATGCACCCATAATATGTCTCCCTCAAGACTATATAAAGAAATTTTATATTACAACTTATCCGTTTCCAAGATATCACATCCTGAATAAGTCATTGTTTAACTTTCCTGAGTAAAATATTATGCATACTTTTTATGTAGTCATACCGTGTGCTTTCAAGACCCTTGTAAAAAATAGTGTGTTCTATGTCCACAACCCTAAATAAAAATTTGCACTAATGCAGAGTGGCATATGACATGTCTTTCTGAGTCATTATTACCCACAATGCATTATGTGGATCCACTTAGTTCTACAATTTCTTTTTTAAGGCCTGACTAAATGGTAGGGCACTCAAGCTGAGGTATAAAATGTTGGCTGGCATCAAATTTGAAGGCATAAATTTATGGGAGACAGTTGAAGGACTAAACATTATTTTGCAGCAGTCACATACCTTGATGTATGACTGCTGCAGCAGATTATTTACAATACACACTTTTTTTTTTCCACAGCACTTTTTCTCTGGGTTTTCCACAGTAATGGCCACATTATTATTACATTCATGGGAGGAATGCAAAGTTCATAAGGGGTCATAGAGTGCCTGGGGAATGGAAGGCAGTCCGGCTTAATTCAAGGAATTGGGAGCATAGGTCCTATTCCTTGGATTAGGAGTCCCTCACCAGCATCAAGGAATCTACCAATACAATTAATCAAAACTCAGAATCATTCACAATCTCCAGAGTTTTAGCAAAGCTTATTCTCTCGAGACCTGATACTGCAATCGCCTAACTTTACTTCATCGGTTGACTACCTGTATGAGACTTCATTTTTTGCTTTTATCTGAGGACCTCTCTCCAACCCCTGTAAATACCCATCTTATTCTCTGAAGTTCCTGGTGGACAAAACTTCACAATAAAATGCCATAACCTGCACTGTGTCTCATTTACATACTGTTGGTATACTCTACCGCTGTATTACCATAGTTGATTCTTTAAGAACTAGAAGTTTGATACAATCGAGGTATGAAGTGAATGCACATGAAGGCAGAACTGACAAAAGGGCAGAGTTGAATTTTTCTCTTCTGCATTTATGAAAACTTATCAGCCATATGACATGCAGAGACCAATTAGCATTTAATACATTACCATAACACTTTTATGATAAACATGCCATTCTTAGAAATGTAGTTTAATTTCATTTGAGCAACCATTTTACAGTCAGTACATCATACGTATATAGTGTTAGCCATGGAGATTCTGTGTACTTTAAGACACAAACTAAAATGAATTTCCTGGGACTTCAGTGCAAATTTTTTTGGGCAGTATTAATAATAGCTTGTTTAGAAAGCCTGCTTAAAGAGCAGTGTCATTCTGCACTTGTATTGTACCATCCAACAATCTACCCTGGGACCACAATAATCTGAGCAGGAATTTTTTGTGCATTGGGTTGATATTATATGGATGAACTTGAAAACTCAAATCCTATCATCTATTCACCATCTTAGTTTATCAAAAACATTACAATTATCAAAATTCATGCAAAGGAAATGCCCATTGCAGCACCAGCTTTGAGACATTTTCCTTTAGGTAGAGCTTTATCAAGAGTAAAACAACAAAAGCTTGTCTTGCAATGTTTATCTTTTTTTCACTTGTCAATAGTTTGCCATCTGAATCCATCAAAAATTCACATTATTGTTTCCCCCATGTTAATTTCATTTGTAAATTGCAGAGTGCCTGCACTCTGAAGGAGGGGCGGGGATGTTGCAGTTCAGAGTCATTTTAAATGTGATGTCTGTGCACTTCTGGCAAGACAGCTATTGAATGAATGATGGTGAGTGTATTCTTTCTTTCAGGTCACCCTGCCTCGGTGGGAGACAAGCACTATGTTAAAATTGTTGGTCATTTTCTTTTGGAGTTAAAAAGCTGTAGCCAAGAGATATGTTTGTTGAGTCAGTGTAGCTTATAATGGCTCCTTTATAAATAAAAATACAGGCTTATCTGTTATAGGTTTCATTTATATAGTGTAGATTACAGTTTCAAGGCTTATGCACCCTTTTTTCATTTATATATAGTACATATATGTACTTCATAAATGACCCTCCTCTTGCAAAGTTTTACAGTCATTTTTTTTATTAATGGTATCCATTTTCTTGTTACTCTTCAGTTACGTGTCTTGCTTTCTCTGTGATTTAAAAGCAACTTAGCCTACGGCCAGGATACAAGGGAAAAACCATTGAGTGAGCACACTATCATTTTGTCACTGCAATTTTTCAACCAGTAATTTAAAGCTTAATTTTTTTACTTTTGGGAAGCCACCTAATCACTGACTTGTATTAAATTAATTTTCCAAAGCTTTTTCAGTTTACATTGTAATACTTTGGCAGACTGCACATTCTTCTAAAGCTATTCATTCAGTACATCTTTAATGTGTAAACTAAATTCCTTTTATTGTTATACTATAATTTCATTTAGGTAAAAAGCAATGCATGTTATTTTTTTTAACCATTATAATATTGTTAAATTTGCTTACTGAAATTGTGTGTTGCAATTAATTAATGATTCAACAAATTTTCATGTATGACAGTCCAAGGAAAAAATATCCATAAGTGGACAATTAATCAACACTATACACTATATAGAACTCTGTTACAGTACTAATAATTGACATGTGTTATATAGTATATTCCTCCATTATTGGTTCTGTCTAGTAAGAATCTGTAACAATTTGATTTTTAATATTTGTAAACTTATTTTTTATGCTATCCCAAAAGATATTAACATGTAATATTTCCTGCCTCGGTGGGAGACGGCCGACTTGTTGAAAAAAAAAAAAAATACATAAATTGGTAAAACAGCTCAAAGGATTAAACAAGATAATGTTACATTGTAGTTTCAAACTTTTAAATACTATTAATCTTTAGTGGAGTCTGGCACATGTGCAGTATGTGTGTGTTTAGGTTCTGATGAACCATGTAGGAAAGTAAAATATGAAAAAAATTGAATGCTGTACCTTTTATTTCATTAGTTTAAGGGTCTCCTTACTGCTTCTCACTCAGCTTGCCTCTTTGTCATCCAGTGAGGTTACTTTTTGAGATACTAGGTTTAGAGTGGTCTGGGATACCAGGTCAGACAAGGCTGAAAAAGATGAACATTCTTATAAGATAAAGGACGATAGAAAGGAGGAGAATAGAGTAAGAATGTGGTTGGGAGGTCCTTGTACTGCTAAGAAAGTAGGTAATCAGACAGGTTGTATTCTGCTACTCTATAAAGAAGTTTATCATGCCTCAAAGCATGGAAAGTAACTTATATACTAGTATAAGAACTTTTATACCAGATAAAAGTACTTTTTTATACTAAATACTTGTGAAATAAATTCTTCCATCTTTAGATAAGTACAAATTTCATGCAGCTGTAAATTCAATAGAGATCATAGCTTCAAATCATCTTTGCATTGGTATACCGTACTCATAAATTTCAACCTAAGCAAGAAATAGAAAGAGCAGAAATTTACATTTTGCAGTGTGCATTACTTACAGGATACAGGATTTTCTGATGAATACAGGTTCCTATAAAAATATTTCATACTGCAAATTTTCAATATGAAATATTTTTTGCACATTGTGCAGCAACCTATGGCCTAAGCCAACAGAGCCATAGCTCAAATGATGTTAAATACTACATGTCAAAGTGTAGTATGTATTATTATTAACTATAGTGATAGGTGTGGCAATTATTATTATAATCAAGGGGGAAGCGCTAAACCCGGAGGATTATACAGCGCCTGGGGGGGGGATGTGAAAGGCCTTCAGGCTTAATTCGGGGAACTGGAGCACAGATCCAATTCCCTAAATCAAGAGCCCCTCACCAACATCAAGGAACCTTCATAGGTGTGGCAAGCCATCCGCTCGCAGACATGGGCTCAGGCCCCTAGGCAGAACAAGGTTATTATAATCAAGGAGGAGAGCTAAACCCGTAGGATTATGCAGCATAGAACAAGGTTGCCAACCCCTGGTGTAGCAGAACTTTTAGGAATATATGAGAAGCACAGATTCTGTTTTGAATTTGGTATTGTATAATAATAACTACAGTAATTTTATTATTTATATCCAGCTTTGTTTTTCTTGTAGTTGTGTATTAGCAAATTTTCTACGATATTTTGTAACTGCATATACTGTGTATGTATGACAATTTATGTAAATAACAAAAAATGAATACTGTACATAAAAAAAAATTAAAAATAAGATATGGCCACGTACCATCAGTCATTCAGTTGCTTAGGTGCACGAGGTGTGCCGACATTACAATTGGTTTACCACAGCTGCAGCATCTCTCTTCTACCCCATCCCCCTTTTTACAATAGGAACAGAACTTGCGATGTGAGGATATTTTAGAACTTTGCAAGAATTTTTTTTCTTAAATTAAATGATAAAACTATTTCATCATAAAACACACATGAACATTCCCACTAGTTTAAGTATTCTTTTACCTGCAGCTTAAAAGACATGCAGGATTTCTGGATGTTTTGGTCCCTGGAATGCATTTTTTTTTTTTGGCATATAAGCAGTGTAGAAAATCACAAATTATATACAGTAGACGATCACCTTTTGTGCCTCCACGCACTGCAGTCCTGTCTGTTTGCGATTCATTTTTTGTACATTTCCTTTCGAGTGAGAGGTTTCCCGCATTTTCGCGGCAGCTCTACCCATTTCCACCTTGTACTTCAGCTTGGCCAGCCATTGCAGCAGTGCAAGTGGCCCAATTTCCCTCCTACTTCCTCAAGCTTCTTTTGTTTCATGGTAGACCTAACTTTGTTTGCATGTACTTCCCTCTCCATTCACCCATGCCACCACCAGCTGCCTCATAGATGCATATCATAAGATTACTCTCCTGCATTATCATTCTATTTCCAATCATTTTATTGTCCCTTGTCATTTGTGGATGTTAATTATTGTATGAAAAAGGAAATCAGGTGTAGGCGAAGGTGCCAAGTAGTTTAACCCTTAAACTGTCCAAATGTAGATCTATGTTCACTCGCGCAGCGCTCCAATATTTTGAAAAAAAAAAAAAAATATAGATGGCAATTTTGTGTGTGTTATAAGACATAAAAAAAAATTTAGGCCCAGTATTTACTGAGACATAAGACCGCGGAGTTGGGGCTGGATGCTTGCCTAACGGCAACTTGGAGTCCTGCTGCTTGCAGAAGTGTTGCCGTTATACCTTTTTTTCTCGTTTTTATTTTAATTTATATGTTCTGATAATTACAACTTATAATAGTTCTTGTGATTTCATAGCCAATCTTTGTTCTGACACTAATATTAGGTACTCAAATAATCACAATCACACCGACAGGTGAATATTTTCACCTGTCTTGGTCATTACTATTGTCTAGAAATATATACAAAGTACTTGTAGGTCTCAGCAATGTTTTAGACATGCTGGACTATACAGTGGACCCTGGACATTCGATACTAATCCGTTCCTGAGAGCTATCGAAAGTCGAATTAATTTTCCCCATAAGAAATAATGGAAATCAAATTAATCCGGGCAAGACACCCAAAGTATGAAAAAAAACAAAAATTTTACCACATGAAATATTAAGATTAATGCAATAAAATTACATTACCTTAGGACTGTGAAGAGATTGGTGGAGAGGGAGGTAGAGGTAGCAAAGAGGTAGCAAGTCCTTTTCTGGGGTTACTTCCCTTCTTTTAATGCCACTAGGACCAGCTTGAGAGTCACTGGACCTCTGTCGCCGTTCCTTCCCTTTAGATGTGTCTAAGGGCCATAAACTGTCATTCTATGTCGCCAATATTCGAAAAAAAATTTGTGTTTATGAATTTTCCAAAAGTTTTCTAGGTTTTAAGCCTACACATTTTTTTGCCATCGAAGTTACCGGACAATGAGCCGCAAAGGTATAGAAATTTCACGGGTACCCAAACGCCTTCAATCTGCCTAACCGTATCTATATTTCACTTTTAATCAAAGGTTTTGCATTTTCATATTTTCTGGCCAGGTAACTTATGTTGCCTGAGAAACCAAGAAGTGCATTGTCAAATATACATCATTATTTAACACATACAGAACAAACTTATAACACTTGTTGTACACACTGGTTTACACAAACAGAACATTCAAACACATGTTTAATTACAGTGTTCCGATATCATAAATGTCAGTCACAAATTCGTTCTAGAATGCTGAAGTTGTTGACTCTGAAACATGGTTATGCGGGGGCCCTGTCAAAACCCACACTAAACGAGTGTTCTGCGAGTTTTAGCTATGATGGTATGCAGTCATATAACACCTTATTTAAAGCATTTCTAGGGCAATTTTGGAGGCGTTGTCATGGGTAAACAGTATCGACCTGCCTCAAACGAGATGTACGTCTGTGTGTCGCTGTCTATTCTAGAGTCTCCTTTGCTCTTCATCATGAGTGCTCGATTACCAAGAAAATTCACCAATTTGGATTTTGGTATTAAATTGTATATGTTATAACATATTACACAGATATAGCAAATGGGAAAAATTTTTATATCCACTTATAACTCTTGGTACACAGTTGAAACCAATCAGCAGTCACAGTTTGCCATAAGCGCATATGAAGTTGTAGTCATACAGTCGCAAGTTTCTTTGTTATGGGTTTCATTTCCTGCACTGGAGTACCATTCGTATAAAAATGAACGATGTTCAACATGGGTACATCACGTTTGTTTATACCGAATGCCTGACATTGAGGCAAAGGCTTGCTACCTCACCTCTTCAAGGGGAAACGACCCGGGCATGTTTGCTGATTCCACGCACTGTGCCACACCGTCTGCATTACTCGCAACGAAACACTGAGTAAGGGGCCGTTTTACCATTATCAGTAAACACCAATGCTTAACCCAGTAATTGGTTCCACATTGTTCAGGGCCACATCACCAGAATTTAGCCGAATAACTTCAGGTATCTAGATTACTGCCAGTGTACACATAAATCTAACAAGACCACTTCTGCAATCACACAGTCAAATAGCTTATACAAAGCGTTTTGTAGGAGTATATATGCTTGAAAGAGAGTTGCCTTTGAATTATCAGACCAAATAACAAGGTTTGAAAGGGGTTAACAACTGCAGTCCCTTTGGTAAGGTACATAAACAGCCTTGTTATCTTATAAACTTGTGCTGTTGACATGGTTTGTCTGAAAAGGTAACATAACAACAGTATCAGAATTGAATACTACGATTAAACAAAAACTGGAGTTGAAATCAGGTTCTGTGATGTCCAGGATTGGTACTATCTGTCAGCTTATCAATTGCATAAGCTTTTTTTGCTCAAAAGAACAGGTACACTCTGCCAAGTTCCTGACTCCCTTATTGTGTAGCCGTGTTTCTCAGAATGTATTTGCCAGGATTTAATCCAAGTATTTGTTTGGTTTCCCTGACAATGATTCCATCAGGGGTTTATCGAAGAATAACTCAAAGCAGTCCATTCACTGGCATTGTTCCAAGTGGACAAGATGGCTTTAATTTCCCCTTTGGTTTCATCAAAGTCATGGACTGGAACAAAAATCTCACCGTCCTGCCAATCCCAGATGCGGTCGCGGGGGTTGATATTTTACCTGGTTGTGGGTGTGCAGGTTTTGGTTGCGGTTGTGGCAGGGGTTGGGGAGGGTTTTCCCCCTCCCCGGGGGGAAAAAAAAAATTTTAAAAACAAAAAATAATCTAAAAACCACCAAATACAGGTGGGTGTTGGGGACGGTTGCTCCAAATTTTTCCCCCCAACCGAAACACACCCCGCAGAGGGAAAAGGGGTTCACTGGGGTTTCACCCCCCCTTCACCAAAACTGCTTCAAATCCTTAATCATACACTTCATATCACCATCACGGTGTTGTCACGACCAAAAATTTCCCCCCTTTTTTCCCTGGAC